GAAAGAAGAAGAGGTAGAAGAAGAGCAGTTACTTGATACAATGCAATTTCGGCTTTTTCCATCAAGGGGCCGGCTTTCATCGTTAATGCATAAGATAGCGAAACTCTGTAGAAGCAGCGCAGCTCTCCGAATCGTACGAGTAATTATTACGACGTGTAGTTTTAGCTGCAGCACACACACACACATATATTAAGCACACACACCGTCGATTTGTCTCATCGAGTTAGCGCTCGACGTAACTATTTCGTCGCGTACTATGTATGCCCAGCTGCAGTGCAGAAATAACGTAACGACTCTTACCGAGTCATTTATTTATCTTTGGTCTAAGAAAAAAGAGAGAGAGAGAGAGAGGGAGAAAAGTAAATTTGCTTGGCGCGAGCTCTGCTGATGGGTCGATGATATGGAGACGTTTTTTTCACCTCATCGAGCGTCGATCACGATCAACATTTGCGCAAGCTCGCTCGGCGTGCAATGTATAGACGATTCATTCGAACTCGGCTCCAGTCGTTGTGTTACACTTTTTGTGTACGACAGATTACAGAATTGTTTGAGAATGCTTTCGACGCGAGCGTTAACGCGCACACATACGCTCGATTTTTTTCCCTCTTATTTTCTGTTGTTGCTCTAACCTTGTTATTTTAAATACGCGTGGGCGATCGCAAGCTCGATTACGCGTTGCTTTTTAATAACTACGCGTTGTTATAAGAAATAAAGAAAAAAAGAAAAATAAAATAAAATTGCGGCAGCTGCAGGTGCCTGATTAATATTATATGCATCGGCTCACCCTTCACTGGCACACATTGCTGCTGCTGCTGCTGCTGCCGCTGCGATTGTGTAGCTGCACGAGACCTCTGAATCTGACGGATTTTACTACCGGCCCCCATCTCCCCCCTTCTTTAACGATAAGTCTGCAGAAACTCTGCTTTTACGATAATTGTCTCTTCCTCGAGATAGCGCGATATATACATCGGCGAGGTAGCTCGATGATTATTATATCGGTCTTTTGTTTCTGGCAAAACGATATAGTCCCTCTCTCTCCAGAGATAGAAGTGCTTTTTTCTCCTTCCGGATCGTTATATTGTGTCGCGCTGCTGCAGCAGCAGCACGACGACGAGCACTGCAACGACGACGCACCGCCGCCGCCGCGCGTTTCAAGGGATTGTCGACGCGCGGGTTTTTGCCTCAAATTTTAATGAATGTATTTGTTCTGAGTAGGATTGGGAGTCTTAATTAGAAGTCCGAACAAACTGCAAGCGGCCCAAGATCCTTTTGACGTCTTATTCTGTCCAAGTTTCCTTATATTATTGGATAATAAGCCGCGATGGAATTTTTAATTTAGTTATATTATTTGTTTCGTTGAAATAGAAAGAGAGAGAGAGAGAGAGAGAGAGAGAGAGAGAGAGAGAGAGAGAGCGATGAAATATCGGTGAAATATCTTTATTACGCCTTGTATAGCAGTAGATGATTCGATAAAAAAAAATAATTGATCAAATTTCTCGAATTGTTTTAACATCTCGAATACAGGGTGAAAAATAGGAAATAAAATAACTGTACAATAAAAAAATCGATCTATAGCCGGTGGGAGTCTATTGCCCTGGAATTTTGCCACAATTGAATAATACAATGGCGCTCAATTTGTTTATTCGCTTACGCGTGTACGTCACAGGCAGCAGCTCACACCAGCGGCGCAATAATAATTGAACTTTTATCCCGGAGCGCGCGATCGATCAAATTCAATATTTTCAAATCGCGTAAATGCACTTTTTATATATTTCCTTCGTATACACACTCGTATATAGCCCCGGGTGTACTACATGTACACATCGATTGGCTACTTAAAAGCTCGGCGTGCTACGGGGTGGTACGCAGCTACTATCGTACGTGCGGGCGCTGCGCTCCTATACGTATCGTACGTGTATGTGCTTGCGAGCTTCTCCGTGGGGAGCATGAAGGATGGTCCTTTTTTGAAATATATATAAGCGGGGCGCGCGCGCGTGAACTTTGCTCAATTACTCAAGCGAATGACATCGCGTAAAAATTTTCACGAGCAAACTTTGTCGTGGTAGCGGTGGGCGCGGGGGTATGGTAGCGGCCGTGGGGCCGGTGCCACGCCGCAATTACTGCATTTTCCATGGGCTCGACAGCTTACGTATATAAACGCCTGTATATAGATATATTAAATACATAATTCTCTCAACTGCTCCTGTGCACCCTAGTGGCATATATACACCTGGGCAAAAGCTCTGGGCTTGTTTTAATTAAAATAGCACGACGAAAGGATAAAAATGAAGGAGAGAGGGAGAGAGAGAGAGAGAGGAAGCGGAAAAAAGACGAAGAAGAGGGTGGAGGATGACGAGGAGCAGGAGAAGGAGACGCTTTAAGAAAGTTAAGAGCTCTCTCCGCGCTCGAAGCTTTTAATTTTTGCCTCAATGAATCTCATCGATACTCTTTATCGACGATGTAATCGAAGATCTTGGCTGCGGCGCTTAAAGTTTTTCAATTTTACGAGGGGGGAGGGTGCAGGCTCGGTATAAGGCGCGCAGAGGCGATAGAAAAATTTCGATGCCACGCGAAACCAATTAGTCGTCGCTAAATCGTCGAACGAGAGAGAGAGAGAGAGAGAGAGAGAGAGAAAGAACAAAAACGATCTTATCGATGGGACTAATTTTAATGACGTGATTCTAGTTGCGCGAGAGTATATATATTTTATGGGCTCTACTCGCGCTATACAAAAGTTAACCGAATAAAGTATTGCCGGGTAGTGCGCAGGACAGATAAAATCCCAACTGGCCCATGCTCGCACTCGCAGCGCGCGCTGGTTTTTCTTATATAAGAACTTAAGTTTCAATATATGCAAATGAACTTCTCCGTTACATTCCTCTCGCTTCGAACGAAACTTTTTTATGTGTACATTTTCTCTCTCTTTTTTCCAGTTTTTCCAAAGGTATGAGTTGTATAAAGCTTGACTTTCTTATACCGTACATATGCCAGAAAAAGAGAGAGAGAGAGAGAGAAAAAGAAGTCACAAAAAAACAGACACATCTACTGCTCCACTCTATTATCAAGGAACGTGGCGGCAACTGTGTTGTATACATTAGTAAACGTATTGCCCTTTATCTAATAATGTATTCTACGTAAAGCACAAGAAGAAAAAAAACCTAAAATTTTTCACCGAATAATGGTATATTGTGTACATTCATTTTTTATTGCGACTTTTAATGAAAGTCATAAATCCAAGTGCAGCGAGAGAAAGAGAGAGAGAGAGAGAGAGAGAGAGAGAGAGAGAGACAGACAGAGAGAGGAAAAACTTGCGGTTGTCAGCTTTGTGCTTTACAACTTGAGAAATAAAAGTTGCCAAGCCCCAGACATTATCATATCTTCCTCGGCTGAGCTTCGGTAATAAAGAAAAAGCTGGTTACAACAAAAGCACCGCGGCACAGTGCAGCAGCGGATCTTTCTTGCTCTCTTACTCTCTCTCTCCCTCTCTCGCTCGGCCCATTTTTTTTTCCTTTAACGAACAAACGATTGACTCTGAATGCCAAATTCTCCGTATAAGTATTATGACAATGGGAAAAAATACGATGTGGAGTTTTTTACACAAAAAGCGAAACTACTACCACTACTTTCGCCCATATATAGGATGGAATAAAGAGCATCCCGCCGATTTTCATCTTTTTTTTTTACTACATATATATATAGTAATGATTGCTCGACTGTGTACAGCTTCTTACTCTTTGCTCTCCGAACGTAATGCACATCGATCGGGCCGGGTATTTATTAGCTGAAATAAAAAGAGAGCCCAAGAAAGAGTAAGTAGAAGAAAAAAAGGATTGGGGGAAGAGAAAAAAAGAGAAGAAAAGAGCTCGGCCTGGGCGCGCTGCAGGTATCCCTCTAATATTCGACTAGGTACTACCACTATACGTACGGGTATTAGGTCTCTTAAGCACAGCCGCTCCGGAAAGTATCGAGTGTATAAGAGGCCTCCGACAATTTGTCGAGTTAGCTACAGCCAGGGTGTAACTAGGGAAACTTTGAGTAGCAGAAATCTGTCAGGTACACCCGTTCGCGAGCTCGGCTATGTTCGAGTGTACGTGTGTGTGTGTATGTTCTCGCAGTTCTCTACGTACTATATACTTCACAAAGAGGAAGAGCGAGAGCGAGAGAGAGAGAGAGAGAGAGAGAAAGCTTGGCTATATGTATTATGAGTTCAAAGGTTGCGGTGTGCCATCGTAGTCGTCGTCGTCGTCGTCGTCGAGGCTTGAAATTTTCGGAGCTACGGCAAAAGGATGTATTTCTCTACGTAGCACAGAGCGTCGTCGTGTAAGGCTATATATGGGGAATAGATGGTCTCAAGTCTGGCATGATTGTTTTACACCGGTTTGTGTGCGCATATATCTATGTGTGTGTGTGTGTGTGTGGGCGTGCTATCAAGCGCGAAATATATCACCGAGACGCTTATTCTATATTATTCAAACACGTCTGTTCCTACATGCACGCAAAGTTGTGATGTGTTTGGCTTTTTCTTCGACGAGACACACGTATAGAGTAAAAATCAACATGTAGTCTGCTGTGCCGGACAAGTTGGTGTGTCGAGTCACGCGAAAAGTTTCGAGTGTATATACCGTGTCGTCGTCGTGCTAAGGCGAGGAAGTTTATACCGCGTGTTCGCATCTCTCCGCGACGTGTTTATTAACGATTAAACAATATGAAAACTTATATATACACTTTTTGACGAATCTATAATCAAGCACGACGCTGCCAGTGCAGCAACAAAACATCTGTCGCTTGGGTGGCGGCAGCGGTGGCGACGCCTTTCAACTCTCTTTATATAATATATATTAAGCTTGTACAGTGTGATATTCAATTGCTCGTTTATATCCGCGCTAATGTTCGCGCGTAATTTATTTGCACAGAGAGAAACTTGACAAAGTAAAAACTCTCGCTGGAGCGCGTGCACGTGTCGCAAAAAATTCGCCAACATTTTTTTTTTCTTTTTTTTATTTCTACTTAGGCTTCTTGGCGATACACTCCTTGTCTTCGGGCTTGGGCATCAGCGGTTCCACGATCTTGGCGAAGCTTTCCAGCGGGCACTCGTTGTCGCAGTACACCAAGCAGTTGATGCACTTCAACGCCGCATTGGTCAGGGGGTTGTGCTTGGGCTTCTTCAGCTGCACGGGGATCAGCTGGTCCGACGTGCCGGTGTAGTACAGTACGCGCACGAACGCCTTGCCCTTCTTGTTGCGCAATCTCTCGAAGATCAGGGCGCTACTGTAGTCCGGCACCTCGGGCAGGTCCTTGAGCTTCAACGCCTTGGTCATGAGGGCCACATTGCTGTCGCGAGCTCCGTACAGGAAGATCTTCGTGGGATTGACCGTAGTGCCGGTGTTCATGTCGGCCAAGCGCAGGGATATGATTTCCAGGGTCGGGCCCACGGCCATGCGAGCCAGATCGTTGTTCAGCACGGAGATCTCGGTGTGCAGAGCCGCCAGGCCGTAGAGATTTTTCAGGCAATCGCGGGAGCACCACTCGGGTAATGGCAATTCGGTGCTGCTCTGTGAGGGGTACATGAAACGTCCATTCGACGACCTTTTCAATTGATAGGCGATCGAGATTTAGAGATGTATTATTACGCTTTTTTATTACTTACGACGGAGAGCCAATAATTCATCAATTTGCTGCCCGTTATCTGTGGCTGGATGTGCGGAAATCCCGTCTCCATCCTCAGGTACCATATGAAACTCTCGTATTTGCCGAGCTCTTTCACAATTTTCGGTGATTTTTCCGCAGCTTCGTAAAGATTGACGTATCTGCAAAAAAATTTTCATAAAAATCGGTATCTTTCCTTTGTATATGGTTTTGTATAAAAAAAAGAAAACAATACAAGTATACCTGGTACAAAATTTAGGAATAGGGCTCAAAAAATTCAGATCGTTTTTCTCCGTGTAGGCGAGGTAATTCTGCAGCTCGGTCCAGTTGGGATTGTTCGAGCGCGGATACAGTCCTTTCAGCACCTTTTTCAGCGATTTTTTCGTGAGCTCGTCGTCGGTACTGAACGCGTAAACATATCTGGGATCGTAATCGCCAAGAAAGTCGTTGTATCTGTTTCTCAGCACTTCACCGAGTCTGCGAGAGTGTTTTTCTCCCCGCTGAAAGATCGAGAGAGAATTGTAATCAACTTGAAATATTTTGACATTTCTAATCGAACTTACCTTGGTTAATTTGCCATAGCCTGTTTTTTTCCAAGTCGAATTGTAAGGATCCTTCGGGAAGGTCTCATCTTTTTCCGGTGTGCGGTCACCATTTGCTATCAACTACAAGTTTCACATACCTTATATTCCATGGAAAAAAATACAAACATTTTTTTATATACATACGACTTGGACGATATCAATTTGGTAGTCTGCAGATTTTTCCGCGATAACTGTAGCTACAGTATGGATAAAACATATTGTAAAATAGAAACGTATGAGCATCGTTATTATAGGTGCACAATGGAGCTGTTGAAATATCAGTAAAAACGACTATTTATGCACGTACGTACATAGCTTTATTATTATTATTTTTCGCTTGCTAAACATTTCGTGACCATAAAATATAGCTACTTTGGCGTATTTAAGTATCGTGGCACTGTCTATCCTCGGCATGCGGCATGAGCGGATGAATAATGCTCAAAAAAGCATCTATCGGACAGTCGACGGGGCAATTTTTCGGTTTCAAGTAGGGGAAAGCTTTGTGAACCACATTGACGTTCAGAGCTCTCAGCTTTATGGGAATCAGCTGATTGGTCACTCCCGTGTAATACGTTATCTGTGCAATACAAAAGTCAAAGGATAAAACTTTTTTTTTTGGGTTCGCAAAAAAAGTACGAAAGACATTATGCTCCCTTTACCCTGACGTAAATCTTGTTCGTTTTATCGACCAACTTCTCGAAAATGAGCGCGCTGCAGTAATCCGGTATCTCGGGCACGTCCTTGAGCCGGAGCGCTCTCGAGATCGTGGCGATGTTGATGTCGTGCGCGCTGTACAGGTATATCCTGTGCTGATCCCTGGCCTCGCGCTCGTTCCTGTAGATCTTCTTGAGCAGCGCGTCGAGGGTGGGCCCGACCACGATTCTCTGCATCTCGAGATTTTGCACGTAGACGTCGTTGTTGAGACTCGCCAGGGCGTAGAGATTTCGGGCGCACTCGCGCGAGCACCAGATCGGCTGTGGCAGGCCCATACTGTCGACCGCTCGCAGATTGGCCAGCAGTCGACTGCCCGTCTTGGTCGGCAGATTGACGAAGCCCGTGTCGCGTCTCACCCGGTCGATGAAGTCCTCGTACGTGTCGAGCTTGGCCCAGAGCTCGGGCGACCTGATGGCTTGCTCGTAGAGGCTCTTGTAGCGCGGGCACGTCTTCGTTCTGACGGGCCTGAGGAAGTTCTGCGCGTTGGGCAGGAAGTGGGCCGGGAAGGGTCGCACGTGCATCGACTCGCTCCAGCGCTGGCTCGGCGTGGGCGGGTACAGGCCATTGAGCACCAGCTGCAGGGTGCGCTTGGTGCGCTCGAAGTCCGTGCTGAACGCGTACACGAATTCCTGGTGGTAGGGGCCGAGAAAGTCGCCGTACTTGGCGCGCAGCATTTGGCCGAATTTGTAGGCGTGCTTCTCGCCCATCTGTGCGCGCGGATCGTGATATGTAATAATAACATACGCAAGCCGAGCTGGTGAATTTTGGTAGAAAAAATATTTATCGTGCATAAAGTGGGATTTACGGCGCACTTACTTTTGTCAGCTGTCCGTAGCCCATGGGTGCCCAGTACTTGGCGTCGTACGGGTCGGTCGGGTAACGCTCACCTTTGTCGGGGGTACGATCGCCGTGTCGGAATATCTTGAAAATGTTCGGTAACGCGCTCGTAAAATTTCGGCTTTCATTCATCGTATCCCGACTCTGTGCGATTTATACTTACCACTTGTACGAGTTTTAATGTGAGTTCCGGATTTCCCGCGTGGACTATCGAATTTTGCCAGGTAAAAATGAGAAACATGGAGAAAAACCACACTCTTCGCTTCATGATTTTTGCCAATTTTATTCACATTTATTCATGAAAAATGCTCGTTTGCCAGTTACACTACTTGGAAGACATTATGCTGCAAGTATGGCTCATTTTTTTTGATCGAAATAGTCGTGACCGCGAAAGTACAACGACTATCGTAAAAAAAACTGCGCAACTACGAAACGAACGAGGAAAGAAATGTCGTTTTATTGCAGCGAGCGTTACATCAAATTGCTATGGCACAATCGTAATCCTCGCCCGTAGGACGAGTCGGTTTGACGATCCTCCTGAAAGTCTCGAGCGGGCACTTGTGCTTGCAGTACTTGGTGCACTTGAGGCACTTGATCAGCTTGCCGATCTTGCTGTTGTAGGTCATCTTGACCGGCAGCAGGCTGGCCGTGGCGGCCTCGTAGTACCTCGCTCGCACGTACACCTGCTCCGCGTCCGTCTCGTCGCGCAGCTTCTCGAGTATCAGGGCGTCCGCGTAGCTGGGCACGGCCGGCACGTCGTCGAGCATGCCGAGGACCCTCGCCACCGCCGCCAGATTGCAGGCCAGGGCGCTGAACAGGTAGATCCTCTTGTCACCTCCTTGCTCGATGTTGTGCAGCAGCACCTGGAGCGTCGTGCCCACGAATAGACGGCGCATCTCGGCGCTCTGCACCTGCGCGTCGTAGTCCAGACTCGCGAGGCTGTAGAGATTGTCGGTGCAGTCGCTCGTGGCGCACCAGCCGGGCCGCTCCAAACCCATGCTCGACTGCAGCGGCAACAACGATAATAATCGCGTCAATTATCGAGAGAGAGAGAGAGAGAGAGACAGATCTATCTGTGTATAACTACGCGTCGAACTTCATAAGATAAAAGAGACACTCACGACCGCTCGCAAGTTGTCGAGCAAGTGGGTGGCTGCGACGCTCGGATTGTCGGGCAACGCGTAAGAAACTTGAGTTTCGCTGCGCACGCACGCGGTGAAGTTTTCGTATTTGATCAGCTCTCGCCACATCTCGGCCGATCTTCGGGCGTGCTCGAGCAACTTTTGGTACCTGTGAAGTAGTGGCAGTAGTTGCGACCGCATATATATATATAAAGCAAACGGTTTTAAGCTCTCGTAGACTCAGCGAGGCGCGTGATATATATCCAAGATATTACGGTGTGTACTATTACTTGCGGCAATGCAATCGCGGGGGTTTGAAGCAGTTGCGGCGGTCGGGCTGGTGCGGCATCGTGAAGGATCTCAGGGGCATCGGGTCGCTCCACTCCTCTTGCGCTTCCTCGCCAGGCGGATAGACACCGGTCAGAACCCAGGCCAGGGTCTGCTTCGAGCTTGAAAAATCGGCACTGTACGGATAGACCTTTTCCTCGCTGTACTCGCCGAGAAAGTCGTCGTACTCTCGTCGCAGCACTCGGCCGAGTTCGTAAGCTCGTTTCTTTCCGTGCTGCAATTCGTACATTATGACGCGCGGGCGTGAATCAACTCTCGCTCGGCATTTTCCCTTCGCACCTGTCCTTGCATTGTACTTACGTACGTCAATACGCCGTAGCCCATGTGCTGCCAGTAGTCGTCGTCGTAAGGATCGGTCGGGTAGCGTTCCTCGATCGTCGGCGTACGATCGCCGTTTTGAAAAAGCTGAGAGAGAAGCAGTTTTGTACAATATTGTTGATGTAACACGATTATTAAACTCGAGCTTGCACACCACTTGCAGCAGTTCCAGCCTCGTCGCCTTTTCGCCCCGGCAAACGATAAACAGAAGAAGACATGGTATCAGGCTCGCGTACGCGATCATTGTGAATTGTAATCTACTGGTATTTTTTTCAAACTTTTTTTTCGTTCTTTCTTCTTTGTATTTTCGTACCAATGTATATGTGTGCGCGCGCAAAAGCTAACGAGCTTATACTTTTAGTTTCGTACGTTAATTGCCGAGTCTTTTTACGATCGATAAAGCGCGGTGCGCATGCATGAAGGAGGATCATAAAAAAGAATAGCGTACGTGTAATATAGCATCCACATAGCGATGAAAAAAAATTTTTTCTTTTTTTTTACTTCTCTCGCAAACGATTTTATTCATCGATGGACAACATTTTCTTCCTCATTTTTTTTTTTTTTCGTACATATATTACATATATTTTTTTTTACTTTACGTCGAGCTGGTCGAGCCGCTCGCCGTCGTGCTCTCGCATTCTTCTTCGTCGGCGTGTGGAAGCCAGGGTTTGACGATTTTGTAATAGCTCTTGAGCGGACACTCGAGCTTACAGTGTTTCGATTTAAACATGCCCAGCACCGAGGACGAGGGTTTCTCCGGAAATTCCAGCTTTATCGGGATTATTTGGGCCGTGGCTCCGGCGTAGTAATATATCTGCGCACAAATCGACCGATCGATTAAACTTCGATCAGTGTATAAAGCTAGTGCATATGTACAAAAAATTTCCTCACCCTCACGTAGACCTTGTCTGCCTCGTCGCGAAGCTTCTCGATGATCAAAGCGCTGCTGTAGGCCGGCTGCAAGGGTACTTCCTTCATGCGTAAGACTCGCGAGATGGTAGACAGCCCGATGTCGTGGCCGCTGAACAGGAACATCTTTATCTTATTTTTCGGATCATCTTTGGCTGTCGTTTCATCCAGCATGAGGTTTTTCGTGAAGATTTTGACGGCAGGACCGACGACCATACGCTGCATTTCCTCGGTCAAGACGTAGGTGTCGATGTGTACGGCGGTGAGTTCGTAAAGAATTTTGTAGCAATCGCCCGTGCACCAGTCGGGTATCGGCAGTCCCATGCTGATCTGTATGATACATCGTTTACAAGTTTCTCTCATTTTTCTCGAATCTCTTTTCAATGTATGCCAAAACTTACGACAGAGTCCAAATTACCGAGCAAACGAGTCGCAAGCTTCGGTGTCTTCGTCCTCTCAGGTGACTGGGTGCTTTCGCGCACCTTGTCCATAAACTTCTCGTGCTTCTCGGTTCTCTTCAAGATACTTCGATCGTTCTCGGCCACCTCGTACAGGGTCCTGTACCTTTTGCAGTAGAGTTTGATCGGTCGCATGAAATTTCCCCTGGCTTTGACCCTGATCGGGAACTTTTTGAAATCCTTGATCTGATTCCAGGGCTTGTGTGGAACCGGTGCAAATAGCCCGTTCAGCACCATCTGCAGAGATAGCTGTGTACGATCGAAGTCGGTGCTGTACGAGAAGACCTCCTCCTCGTTGAATTGACGTTCGACCAGACCGTCGTATCTCTCGCGTAACACCTCACCGAGCTGGTAGGCGTGTTTTTTGCCTTTCTGCGGATGCACTTATGCATTATTATTGGTTGCAGATAAAAATTTGATTAAAAAAATGTCAATTGACACTCACGTCGGTTAGCATGCCGTAGCCGCCGGGTTTCCAATGTGTCTTATCGTACGGGTCCGTCTCGTAAACTTCTGACTTGTCTGGTATGCGATCTCCATGACGGAATACCTGACGATACAAAGTGTCAATATAAATATTTAAAAATTTTTTTTAAACAAAATAAAAACAGTGAAACCGATTACACACCACTTGAACCTGCTCTACTCTGTATTGATGCTTGTCCGCGGCGCAAAAGCACAAGCAAGTCGCTGCTAATAATGTGAGCTTGCGCATCATCGTCGACGTCGAGAAAGTAAGAACAAATCCCGCGATCGGCGCGTTCGGGACTGAGCCGCGTACTTTTTCCTATGTGCGAGCTACTTATCAGACATTCAACCTCGTGAGTTATTAAAAACCGCGAGGTGTATATATCTTAGGCAATAATTTTTTTATTGTATAGCGAGCTCGCAGTAGAACTCCGAGCCGCGTAAATTCCTGCTATCTTTGAATATGATATATTAGTCAAACGAGTGTGAATATATGTTTACACAGAGAATGCTGTTTAGAAATTGCTTACGCAAGTTGAGTTTATTTACAAAAAAAAAACATTATTTTGATTTTTTATAGTATAAAAGTTGTATGTATTGCAAAATATTGCGTACTACGTGTTGACGTTTACGCACGGGTTTTTCGCTTTCGACGTGTAACACTTTTTGTCCTGTGCTTTAGGCATTAGGGGCTTCAAGATAGTCCTGAATCGCTCCAGTGGGCACTCGATATCGCAGTCTGGCAATTTCAGGGTAATCAATTGCTCAGAGACTCCGGTCCACATCAGCATCTAAATTAAATGCATAAAATTATTGGCAATCATTGTATATATTTCGATTCGATTACAATCATTCGTGTGCGCAACGAGCCTCACCTTCACGAAGCTATTATCATTTTCATCCTTCCTTTTCTCGATCATTATCGCACTGCCAAAGTCCGGGAAATCGGGAATCCCTTCGAACTCGAGCGCCTTGGAAATGGTGGCGATGTTGTAATCGTGCGCGCTGTACAGATAGATCTTATTGGCGCTGGATTTCTCATCGCTGTCGCGCATGTTTTTCAGGAAGATCTCGAGGCTCGGGCCCACGGTGATCCGGCTTATGTTTGCTGCATGCACGTAGACGCCGAAATTTATACCGGCTATGTGGCGCAGATCGTCGTAACACTTTTCCGAGCACCAACCCGGCATGGGTAGGCCCAAGGCTAACTGCGAACAAAAAACAACAACACAATGCCGATGATACGTTTAAAATGACGTATGTACATGATCGTATAAGACGTGAGATAACGTTATGCGTTGTTTACACAAACTCACCGCCGAGCGTATATTACGATAGAGTCTACTGCCAATTTTGATCTTGTACTCGTGCTTGAAGTGCGTGCTGTTTTCTATGCGATCGAAAAGCTCGCGATACTTGTCTAGTTTGGGCTCGTTCGCGTCCAACGCCTCTTTGTACAATTTCCCGAACCTACGGTGCACATGCGGATAAATAGGAATTTGATTAATTTTCGAATGCAGCCTCGCTCGAGCTCTTCCGAACTATAATTTACTTGGAGCACTTCTTGGACGGATGACGGAAAACGTTGCCACCGTCCGGCACGCAGTCGACCGAGAACTCCTCGAGGAGCGTATTCCCGTTCTCGTTCCAATTCGTTTCGTTGTTATAGAGTCCGTTCAGCACCAGCTTCAGCGACAGCTTGGTACGATTCATGTCGGTGGTGAAGGAGTAGACCCGGTCGCTCTCGTAATCGCCGAGAAAGTCGTCGTAGCGTCGCCTCAGCATGCGGCCGAGCTCGAACTCGCGCCTCTCTCCGACCTTTCAATCACAATGATTATGGACATCAACGAAACGTACGCACATCGCTCGTACGTCACACCAGACGGTGTGTAGTTAATATTATGCATACTAACTTTTGTTAATTTTCCATAACCCAGCGGCTTCCAGAACTCGTCTGTGTAGGGATCGGAGTCGTAAATTTCACCCCTGTCGGGCACGCGATCCCCGTGCCGGAATATCTGCGCACACAATATAATAATGATACACACGCACGATGATGCATACAACATGTAACATATAAAATAGCCCAGGGCTCGCGCGCAACGTCTCTCAAAGGGTTAATCATCTTTTAACGTATGTATATACATGACGTACCACTTGAATGAGCTGTAATTTCCGACTAGCGTTGCCGTTGCCGCTACCACCGTTGCCGTTGCTGCTGTCGTCGACGTCGACGTCGAGCACGGCGGGTAGGCCAGCTACCGCGTGGATCAGCAGCAGCAGAAGCAACGAGCCGAGCGAAAGTTTCGTCAACTGCACCGACATGATCATCATCTCTTTCTCATCCTCTTGACTCTCGATGCGAGATACGACTGAAATGCTTTTTCGCGCATCGCTTTCTATTTATAATATTGCTCCCCGCGCGTATTCTTGTATTATATAGCCTACACCCATTACAACCCGAGCCGGGCAAATATAGAGCGCGCGTCTGTATGTATAATATACATTGTATATGTATGTATCGTACGCGTGTTTGTAGGCTCCATGGTAATTACGAAACGCTCGCTCGGCGCGCGCTAAACTCGTGTTGCGCGCGCCCGTGCGACAATGTAAGTATGTATGTCTGCTGTGTGTGCGTCAAAAAGTACAAACAACACGAGTATCGTTTACCTTATCATGATATTTTTCGCTTTGTCTTTCTACCCACCACAAGACCGAGCGCGTCTTTTCCTCTTTCTCTCCTAAAAGCTTCAATTCTCGTTCTCCGCTTTATTGTTATGTCTCTCTCTCTGTCTCCGTCTTTCTCTGCCAAGCGCAGAGAAAAATTATTTTCACATCGAAGCGCGCGTCGTTGAACCTTACCCGCGGTATATATTTATACACCCAACGATTTTCTTTATTCTTTCTTTCTTTCTTTCTTTCTTTCGTTTTCTTCTCTCTTTTTTTTCGATATTGCCGCAGTCACGTAGCGCTCAATTTTCAATATATGTTTAACGAAATATCTGCCTGTAGCGTATTCACAGTCGATCGTGCGCATTCATTGAGATTGAATATTTCCAGTCCTATATATCAGGTTGTATACTATATATAGAGTGATGCTGCGTGCATACACCCCACACGCGCATACAGACACTGCATGCTCCGACGTTGGATTCTCAAACAGACGTGTTCGGGCGAGAGAAATATAGAAGCTCTTACGTACGCCCGCGCGTTGGACTCTCCACCCGCTCTATATGTATTTATTTCTCTCTCTCTCTTTCGCTCGCGTATCTCCCCACACTCATCACGCATAAATTTCAACTTTGGCGTTCATTAGTGTCTGAGCTTATTAATGATATTCCTTGAAACTAGCGCGCAGTTGTAACGGTGGCAAGCCATAAGTGCAAATTACAAACTTTTCATTCATATAATAACGAAATAATTTACACCAAAAATAAACGCTGTTGCTAATACATTGGCTCGAATTTTTCATGAAATTTGATCAGTCCTATATTTATTTTGAATTATATCGATTAAACAATACATTGTCTTAAATTTCTGCTAAATAAATAATCATTTTACACAGTTTTTGTTTTTAGTACTCGAAAAACTTTTTTGGACTATGGTGCAATGTAAAATGCCACGTATATTTATACAATGTGATACTTATTATGTAAAATTTTCCACATTCTATATCATTAAATTTTGTATGTAACGTGCTGGTTTTTTGAGATCTCATTGTATAAATAAATATAATATTTTATAATATAACTATTATTCTTTTTATTGAAAAAAATCCGAGAAACTGTCATTATTCGCCGTTGAAACCCCATTTAACCCCTAAAACTGACACTTTGCTTCGAAAAAAAACCCACTGTTATGATACACCTCTTTTAGGATTTTAATAAGCAAAAATATAAAAACTTCCTCTGCCGTGTAATGAGTTTTTTATCAAGTGTAACTTGCACACGAATATTCAAACTTACTTGTAATTTATTATTCCATAAAATCGTGAAATGTATAGTTAAAATGAAAGTAAAACAATTTTTTTGCGCAATCATCATATATTTAAAAGCAATTGATGTATATATCGTTCATTGTAGCTTTAAAAACATTAACTAAACAAGTTCAGCAGAACTGTAGTTAAATGTTTTTCCATATCCTCAACGTTGGCACTGAGCTGCATCAGGATAATCACAATTATTTAATTTTGTATTCCAATGAAGAGTTGATGGACAAATCATAACAATTGGACGACCGTTGGAGCATTGGCAATATTTTGTGCAATCCACGTGAGGCAAAAATGCTGTTGAACCAGAGCATGAACCGATACATGATCCTTGATTTCCACCACTTGTATTGATTTTATTGACTTGAGCTGCATTTGATTGAGAGTAACCGATTTCATTCTTTTTTGCGTGAAGAAGTTGGCCTCTAAAGTCTACAAGCAGAAGTTGAATTACAATGTTCTTCCAATAATTAGTTGTATTCAATTGTGCAATCCGATTTTTAATAGTTTCTTCATCAGCTGCATTAGATCCTCCATTAGCTTCGAATTGTAATATTCTGAAGACTAATAAATTAATTACGTAGGAATTGACGTCGTTGCCTGTTTCCCAGTAAACGATTTGAATCATTAGTTGCAAAATGTATTCAGCATATACTTTACTTTTGGCTGAGTTATCGAATAAAAGTTCAAGTAATTTTTTCTGATCTTCCTCGGGTACATTGTTGACAACCATTATTTCCATTATCCGATTTTTAATATCGTAAAAGTTTAAAATGATCATGTATAGTATTTTAATTTTTATACTGCTAGGCAAATTTAATTGATCAATGCTAGTTTTGAAAGAATATATTTCACAAGGTGAACATTCAATAGTTGCATGAGAGTGTTGTATTCTGGTTACTAAGAGTTCAAGTACGAATTGCTGCTCATAGGTACCCATATTCCAACTGAGGATTTCATTTATCAACTTCAAAACAAATTCTGCATATGTACCATTTCCTTCTGGTTCAGCTATTAGGATTTGCAGTAAACTTTGTCTTAAATTTTCTTGGACATTCTTTTCAGTAAGAATTTTTATCACGCTTTTAACGTTTGGTCCGTACTGATTAAGATATTCAAATTGATCTTGACTTTGTTGTGGAACTCCTGGAGAAGATACTGGATGAGGGAGAATCTTATTAGATTCATCTTGTTTTTGGAGAAGTGGACCTTTAAAGTCTACAAGCAGAAGTTGAATTACAATGTTCTTCCAATAATCAGTTGTATTCAATTGTGCAATCCGATTTTTAATAGTTTCTTCATCAGCTGCATTAGATCCTCCATTAGCTTCGAATTGTAATATTCTGAAGACTAATAAATTAATTACGTAGGAATTGACGTCGTTGCCTGTTTCCCAGTAAACGATTTGAATCATTAGTTGCAAAATGTATTCAGCATATACTTTACTTTTGGCTGAGTTATCGAATAAAAGTTCAAGTAATTTTTTCTGATATTCCTCGGGTACATTGTTGATAACCATTATTTCCATTATCCGATTTTTAATATCGTAAAAGTTTAGAATAATCATGTATAGTATTTTAGTTTTTGTACTGCTAGGCAAATTTAATTGATCAATGCTAGTTTTGAAAGAATATATTTCACAAGGTGAACATTCAATAGTTGCATGAGAGTGCTGTATTCTGGTTACTAAGAGTTCAAGTACGAATTGCTGCTCATTTGTACCCATATTCCAACTGAGGATTTCATTTATTAACTTCAAAACAAATTCTGCATATGTACCATTTCCTTCTGGTTCAGCTATTAGGATTTGCAGTAAACTTTGTCTTAAATTTTCTTGGACATTCTTTTCAGTAAGAATTTTTATCACGCTTTTAACGTTTGGTCCGTACTGATTAAGATATTCAAATTGATCTTGACTTTGTTGTGAAACTGCTGGCGAAGATACTGGTTGAGGGAGATTCTTGTCAGATCGGTTGTCTTTATTTGAAATCTGTGAACTTGTTACAGGTGCTGTTCCAATATTTTGATTAATATTGGTTTGTTCTGAAACAACTAGAGTGGATGCTGTTTGTGGAGTATTCTTACTAGGTTCGGTTCCTTGATTCAAATTCTCTGAAGTTGTAACAGTTGCTTTTCCAATATTTTGGTCAACATTTTTATCACTTTTATTGTCTGTTTGATTTTGCGGTGCTTTGAAGTTACTTACTAAAATTTGAATCATTTGTTGTTTATGATTTTCATCTATATTCAAACTATTTATTTGATTTTTAATCGATTGTTCATCTGCTGCATTAGATCCACCATTTCTCTTATATCCTTGAATTCTTGAACTCAAAAGATTGATTAATGTTCTTTTAACGTCATCCTTCGCGTTTAAGTTTATAATTTGGAGTATCAGTTGGTAAATGTATTGAGTGTATGTACCGTTTGCATTTGAATCCAACGTTAACAGTTGAATAATATTTTGCTTAATATCTTCGCTAACATTTAACTTGAAAAATATTTTTACTATTTGGTTTGAGTTTTTTTCATCAATATTTGAAATATCAATAGTGTTTTTACTGATTTGCAAAGGGACTGATGTTTCATAGGTGTTTATCACGTACTGTTGATTAACTGGAACCTGAATTGATGTAACTTTTGTGTTGAAGCCTTGATAAGCATTAAAATTATTTGAGCCTTGTGATGATCCTATGGTTTCATACTTCTTTAGAACTGGATATTGGTATTGAACTAAATATGAGAAATAATTTAAAATGCGAGAAAAAATATTAATCCGTAATCCATTAACGACCAAATGACTCACTTTTCCAACGCGATTTAAATGGAATTCCCAAAGTTATTTTTTAATTATCGTTAAAAATTTTGAGAAACATTGACTTTTTATTTGTATGACTTTATTCTAAAGCTGATAGTTAAGGGGACATTTCCATTGCAAATGGCAAAAAAATTTCTTTTCAAGTATTTTTTTTTCAATTAATGAATTTTTTGCATTCCAGACGTCGTGGGTTTATCGCCTTACATATTAAACTACAAAAAATGTTTTATGGGTCTTAAGACCTATTTTGTTGGCTGTAGAGCAAATTTGCTGAAATCTTCGTTTTAGCTCCTGCCAACGATTGAGAGAAAACTGTAAGTCCGATCCTAGCGTTTCATATATTTTTTTAATCATTACATTTTTCTTCAGAGAATAAACCTTCATAAAGTTAAAAATTTCAATATTTACGATTTTTGCATGAGTTTTTCTGTAAAATTGTAAAAAAAACACTGTTTTCGGGTTGTATTCTCCGACAAAAAAGGATGCTTTTCTTAACTTTTTGGAGGCTTAATTTTTGTCTAAATATGTGCAAATAGAGTTTTTTTAGCGCATAAAGTAGGAAACAATCGTGGTGAAAATTAAGTCAATGTTTGGTCATGTGGACGTTAATGGAATAAGTATTAGCAATTCAATATTTTTTTATTAAATGGATCATACCGGTTTGATAGCTGTAACCGCCCCAACAAAAGTTGAAACTGGCGGACGAAAGTAACAAAAGTAGTAGCTTCATGGCCTTCACTTGCTGTATACGAGGAAAAGATGAAATAATCAGTTTTTATATACTGACGTGGTAAAACTGAATAAAAAATATGACAGATGACTGTCATTAAATTATTGTGGTTCGTGATTGACGTGAGATAATAACTGATTATTGCTTCGTGATTTGAATAAGTCACGTAAAAATTTTTAACTTACCAATTTGTTTTCATTATAAATCGATTTTTTTATATAGAAGTTGCAAATTAAGGTTTTAGGGCTTCATTAGTTTAACAAAATTTGGTTTCAGCTACTTATGTCAAGTATTTTACCAATACACATACACAGCCCTCCAATCAATTTTGCCATACCTAAGTTAAAAGTTAGTAAACTTCAAAGTGTCATACCTCAGTCAATAAAGGTCGGATCAGGATTTTAAAAATACCATTCGAAAGGTCTTTTCAAGCAATTTATAACCATATAAAGTATGATACGGTTCAATGATTTATTTACGAATTGTTTTTTCAATAAATAAAGAAATGAAAAAATCAGTTTTTCTCGTCGTTGCTGTTTGACTTGCCATTTGAGTAGAAGGTCTTGTAGAAACATTCGAAACCCATCCATTTGTAGGTTTTGATAAGACCTTCAAATCTGTTTAACTTAAATTGTCCTACGTGCATTTTTCACGCAGATACTGTGGTTTAACTGTAGAGAAATAATTGATATCGTTTTTTAATTTTTTTTTCATTCATACGTGCACGGCTTTGTAAATAAGATGGGAAAAATCCCATGTACAAAAAATGCTTGTTTTTGTATTTAGAATATGAAGTAATATTAATGGATTAGATTTTTAGAATATTCAGGGCTTTGGCTCAAATATTTTAGAATTTCAAAAAATATTAGGGTGGAGTAAACGCCCATATCTTCGTGAAAGATGCACGTAAGGAATTTTAGGTTAAACAGATTTGAAGGTCTTATCAAAACCTACAAATGGGTGGGCTTCGAATATTTCTACAAGACCTTTTACTCAAATGGCGAGTCAAACAGCAACGACGAGAAAAACTGATTTTTTCATTTCTTTATTTATTGAAAAAACAATTCGTAAATAAATCATTGAACCGTATCATACTTTACAGTCAAACCCCGTTATCCGCGGGGGTTCGGTTCCGAAAAAGTACCGCGTATACCGAAACCGCGGATACCGAAGCATTGTTCTTATGGGAAAAGGGGGGTTCGGTTCCTTGTCCAGCTGAAATGTCAATGTACGAAAGAGTAAAACACCTTTTTTTTATGAAAAATCAAAGTATTTATTTATTTTCGAGTAAAATACTTAGTCAAACTTTTTTGCTTCACTCTGTGCATCAAATCTTAGTATAAACTTTCATAACACTGGAATGATTTTGTTATATCTTGCTTGAATTGAAGGCTGCGAGTCATTATTGGATCATGATTTATGGCTCGTTCAATGAGTTGTTCTGCATCAACTAAAATTTTACTTATGACTTATCTTGCATTGTTCTGCATGTTTCCCCAAAGATTTTGCATTCTCTCGAGTTTTTTTCTCGTTGTCACGGATTGTTCTGATCGAAGACTCGTTGACGTTGAATCTTCTTGCGATTGTAGCAACTTTTTCACCAGCTGCCAAAGCGTCGAGAATTTTGATCTGTTCGACCAAATTAAGAACTTTTCTATCGCGCTTTATTTCGATTGAAACTTTTTTTTGGTGTTGGTCGAAACATAATTAAATAAAAAATAATAAAAAAATTTTTAAATTTGACGCGCACAAAATGTTAACCTCCAGAAAAAAACCGCGGATATGAAAACGAAAAACCGCGGATACTGAAGTTGGGTCACAAATAGGGGTACCACGGATACGAAGAATCGCGGATAACGAATCCGCGGATAACGGGGTTTGCCTGTATATGGTTATAAATTGCTTGAAAAGACCTTTCGAATGGTATTTTTTAAATCCTGATCCGACCTTTATTGACTGAGGTATGATACTTTGAAGTTTACTAACTTTTTTCTCAGGTACGGCAAAAGTGATTGCAGGGGTCCATATATCTCCATCATCGTGCTAATATCTAAAAATTCAATCGAGTTCACGTATGATAATTGGTTCGATACTCGTTATGTCGTACTGATTACAAAGCTTCCTATTGAGGGCTCAAAGGGGGCTTAAATAATTATATATTTCTATTTATAGTATTAAGCTAAAAAAGTGAAAAAATTTTTTTTCAGAAAACAGACATAAGAGCCTTTTTCAATACCCCATTTGAAAGTACTTTGTCCAGTTGAATACTTACAAATACTTAAATTAACTGGTATAAGTCTATAAACCTTCAGCGATAAGCATTTGGAATAGCTGTTTGCTGTAAGATTCCAAGTGTTTGCATGACACGATTGAGTTGTATGTGGTTTCATTTTCTTTGATGGATCATTATTCATCAATGCAACCTCAAGCTAAGCATAAGATGAACTTTGACTACTTCCACATACAATTTAATAGAATATTTTATTCATTAATGATTATTTTTGATAAATTTTAATAAAATATGCTATTAATAAAAGATCATTATATTAATAAAAAAAATTTTTTCACTTTTCTATATTTTTCACCGTACTATAAATAGAAATTTATAATTATTTAAGCCCCCTTTGAGCCCTTAAGATTAACGAATAACAAAAAATAAAAAACTGATACAGAACAAATGCATCTAAAATAATCTATCAATAATATATAGGTATCAGAAATATAATTTTGGATGACTTTAGATTTTTGATTAGCTTACCTCCTCGCGCGTGCGCGTGACGCTCGCTCTTTTTCACGGGCCAATTTTCCATGCTCAACGCAGCTAAAGAAGGTTCACTTCGAACAAAAAGCAATGAATATCCTATCCTGTCAAAATTACGACTTTCCTCTATATTTTCTAACATTTAGCCTGACAAAATAAGGCCACAATCAAAGAACTTGGAATTTTATTTTTCGTAATCATTTGTGCAAGCAGTCGTGATCGAATGCACAGGGAGTAGTAGCCGCAACTATATAGGCCCTTTAAATTCTGCAACGCTTTAGGTTTGTAATAGGTTAGTTGGATTTCCAAAGCCGTGCAGCAGTTTAATTAAAACTTGCTCGACCGAACGCATCCAATGCAGGTACAACGGCCAGCGTTGGAGCTCACGCGCGAGCACGCACCCGCATACGCACACTCGACATTTCGACGCTGCAGCAGCAGAAGCAGTCGTTGGCTCGGCCATGCCGAAAAAAAGACAAAGTGCGAGATCGGTTAACTACATATTCATCATTGGAACGCCTTGTTTTTTTCGAGTAGCGCGCCACCCACTCGCGCGTTTGTTGTTGGCTATGAGCTCGCATCGACGCTGTATACATATCGATCGAAGACTTCGTGGCACTAAAATTGGCTTCGAAACCCATCGAGTACATAGATACTCTATAGAGCAATTGTAGTCGTGGATAGAGAGGGAGAGAGAATATAGAGAAAAGAAAATTACCAATAGCGCGCGAAATTGAGAGTAATCGACGGAAAGAGGATCGACGTACATATATACGCGAGAATTGCACTGCGAGCTTTTGACCGCCGCAGCTCGAACTCTGCTTTATATCCTCTGCACAGCTATCTACGGGCATTTGTGTCGGCGCTGCAGCCGTGGCGGCAGCGGTGGTTGTAAAACGAAAAAAAATCTTGGGCGATGGCTCGTTAGCGGGGCCACGCACACACACGGGGGATGTAGATGCAATTAGCGCGCGACTCTGTGTGCCGAGTGTGTGTGTGTGTGTGTGTTGCGTCTACCTCTAAGGCAAGATGAGACACGACGCCGCGCGCCTCGATCGGTCTCGCGGTGGAGCGGGTGACGAGTAGATTAATTTGCAGCCTCGTGTATGTATAAATGTATACGTTTGTGCGGAGTCTAGTCTCCTTCTGCACCTATATAGGCGTGTGGGTAGTAGTTAGTGAAGCCGCGTTTGATCGTCCTCCCGTGTGCAACTGCATGTGTACACGCGCGCTTATGCTATGGTAGATATGTGTATATATGAAAAAAGTGAAAGAGAGAGGACGTATGAAGCCGAGCGCGCGCGCGACGTACGCTAGTATTTACTTTGACTCCAAATGGAGCCCCCGCAGCTGCGCACCTATCTATACATACTACTCTACCCGCCTACCCGTTTTCGCTATATATAGTATATTTTGTTCATCCCTTACTTTGACTGTCGCTGAAAAGTAATTTTTTTTTCTTCTTCTCGTTCAGTCATTTTTTTTTTTATACAATATATATTTATATATATAGTATACGCCCGCGTAGTACGCGCATCGATCCGCTCAAAGCGACGGATAAATAATAGACTTGTTTATCAAGCAATCTTGACGAAAGTTTACCGTGGGCGTGGGGCCCGGGCTCCAGCAGCAGCAGCAGCAGCAGCAGCCACTGCTGCGCATTCCTAATTCATTAAAAGTTGCGATGTTGATGGCAGGGGAGCCATGCGCAGCCGGTACGCCCGTTGTGCATCTCTCTCGTCGCGGTTTTCAAACACCTCGAAGAATGCGTGCCCGAGTTGCAAAAGTGGTAAGACCCGCAGCATACATAATATTACCCAGCCACATAATGCGTGCGTAGAGGTACCGATATTGCAACGCGTAATATAATAATATCGATGGAACATTATAATGTACACAGAGGGTTCGATATAATGCGCTTAATTTTGCTCTCTTTCTCTCTCGTTTGTTCGCGTTCGTTCGCGCGCTCGTGGGGACTAGTACCCTGGAGAAATAATATAATATTAGACGAGTCGAAAGTAATAAAAAAAAAAAGAAAAAAAAATGGTCTAAAATTCAAAGGACGAATTACACGGTATATTCGTTCGCGAGACTGAGGCATGCCTCTGGAGAGATGACTTTGCAGTGTACGCGCGGATCTCATTTCGCCGCCGCCGCCATCACCATTGCTGCTGTTGCTCCTGCTGCACTGTACATGGCATTACTCGGGGATACATTAACAACATGGAAATTAGATGATG